TTGATGGGTTTCTGTGCTGCATCTCGATCGGTAAGCTTGAATAATTTTATTGCATTTTATGTGTTTTCTTTTTTCATGTTTATGCCGTCATTTTACGCACATTTGTAAGGTTTGAATCAATTTATCTGACCTAGTAAAGAACTTAAAAAAGTCTTTAGACATTTTCTGACCGCGACTAGAAGAAAAAGTTCTGAAAAATAGTTTAGTTATCCTATTGTTTGTAAAAAGAAAACTTTGAGCGATATTCTTGCCTGAAGTTCGTGACTCAGCCTCACTCTCGAAACACGTCTTCGGGAATAAAAATTGTTGACCTTTAAATGTTTCTTCGTATTATATTTCTTGTCTTGATTGTTTGTCAAGATCTCGTTCTTAAATGATCGCTTTGCCAGTTGTTGTTTTCAGTCGTACGTGAACGCGTTGGTCACGCTGTACGTCCAATTTTTATGCTCTGATTGTTCAAAATTTGACAGGTGAGTTTATGCGGAAAATTTATGCAGCATCTTGAAACTTGTTTACTGTGACAGCTGAAGCTGACAGAGTTTTGTGTCAACTTGTGATGTTTTTAACTGTCTTTTTCTACTGGATGTACGAGATGAAATTCAGCTACTATCAAGAGTCTTCTGTTATTCATGGCTAGTTTGTCTATTGGGTTTTTGGTTGAGAAATACGTCGCCTGTCAAAGTCGGAAATCCGATTACAGATGGCATCGATTCGTTTTCGTTTTTCACCTTGCTTGACTCAAAAGTCTGAAGGGATGTAGCTTCCAGGAGCTGCCTGAGTAATTATTGTATTTGTGTTTGTTTTTTTCTTATATCTAATTTCATGAAGCCGAGCGCAGTTTATGAGGCTATAGTTTATGCATGTTTGAATTAAGATTTTAGATAATGATCTGACCTATGGTATGAGGTTTGATTTAAGCTTGCAGAACTTTAAACTTCGTGGATGAAAATTGTTGTCTCTGTAAATGTTTCACCGAATTATATTTCTTTTATTGATTGTTAGTAGTCCCTCTAATGTTTTCATTCGTTCATGAACATTACCTTACAGGAGTACTCAAAACGTCGCGCGTATTAAACGCTTGTTAAGTTTACACATCGTTGTAAAACCATTAAATAAAAAAAATAAAAAAAAACACTAAATTCTTTACTATGTTGAAGTGTAACTCTATTAATGTTCATTCAAACACTCCACAGCTTGCAACTGGCTGGCCGTTATAAAGGTGATTTTGGAAATTTTTTTAGCGGTTTCGCTAAAAGCCCACGCGTGCTTCGATCGTCCTGCATATTGAATGAGTGCAATTTATATTTCAAAACTGTGAAATATTGCATTCTGTCTGAGGTCTGTATGATAAAAACAGCGCCTCGTAGTACTTTTTCACCTCAGACTGTCAGATGTGATGTATAAAAAGTATAAAAGGTTGGTTTACACGCCCCCAGATTTGTTAGCAAGATTTTGTAAAGCAAACGTGTCAAACGGAAAAAATTCTGCCGGATTTGCTTTCCAAGCATTTGTTTTCCAGGCCTAATCTACTGCGATCAAGAGCCATTATGGACGTTAAATGTGATCGAAGATGATTGCTATTTTCTGGGTGTACATATAAAGGCCGTCAACTCGATGTAAGGTTTGGTGCACTCTTGGACTATTAGCAAATTATTTTCTCTCAAATCACTTAGCCTTAATCCCTCAAAACAAAAGTCACATGAATGTGCTCTAAAGTGAAATGATTTGTGGAATACAAGTTTATTGTTTGATTGAAATTACAAATTTATTAATGGGAGCTTCGCTTTTAGCTCTGGCTAAATCCAGATATTAGCAAGATTAACAAATTTTTTTTCTAAAGGTTCTCTAGCTTTTTCTTCTATATTATGTGCCTCATATAAAAAGGCTGTTATCCCAAGAAATGTTTCATTGAGAGAAGAATCAGCTATTTCTTCGATTTTAACTTTTTGTTTAATTTTGTTGATACTCTCCTCAACTTTATCAAGTGCATTATTAAGTTTAGTTATAGAGTCTCTTTCTGAAGAACAATTTATCAAAGTGTACGGACTGCAAGCGGGAGCGGGCATATAAAGATATCTAAGATTAATATCAATATCTTTAATATATTTGTAAATTTTTTCTGAGGGAAATATCATGTTACTTGCTCTGAAGGTTGTTATTGTAGTCATTTTATTTCTCTCTTTTGTTTTCAAATATTTTTATTCTTAATCTAATAATTAAATAAAAAATGATCATAGGGTCTGAACTGGATAAATTTATACCTTCAACACGGGAACTTGAACCTTTTGATTTAAAATTAACTAATATTTTATCAAGAAATCATCCCTTTCAAAAAACTATGTTTATAACTTATAAATACTACGACAATTATCAAACAGGGGGTGATGATGAGGATGGTGTAGATTATTATGGAACTGGTTTAGAAAATGACGTAGTAGAAGATGTTAATTATTTTAAAATATTAGATAATTTTTACAGATATGGAATCACTTTTTGAAGATTTTGAAATTTATCCTGAAAATGTTTTCTGTGTAAAATCATGTTATGATGAAGATGAACCATTTCACTACATAATTGATAATCATTACGATTTAAAAACTCGTATTTACAATGATGTAAAAACAATTAATCTAAATGACTGGGATACTGGTTAAATAACTCTCTCAGAAATAGAAAAATGGAAAAGAAAAGTAATCAATGAACAGCAAAATAAAAAAAAAAAAATTAAGACTGTTAAATCCGACCATTTATCGAAGTTTGGTAACTTTTTATATTTTTTCTAGCTTCGAGGAACGACCAAACAATCAGTTTAATTATGATATATCTTATGATGGGATTGATAAAATTTTTAGAAAGATTAAAAATTACAAATACGAACACATAAAAAATTATGAAGATAAATTAAGTAAAAAAAGATTTTTTCCTCATCAAAATTCAGTAAATTAGGGAAATCCTCATTTGCTGAATTTTGATGAGGTGTGAGTGAATGGAGAAATTAGGGGATTTTCCCACAAAAATAAATTTTAGTTTAAAAATTATATAACTTAAAAATAAAGATGGATTCGAAATCTAGTGAAAAAGACCAAGAAATGATTAAATTAATTGAGAATATAGCAGAAATTATTACAGGAATTTCATGTAAATTTTGTTATGTCAAATTTGGTAATGATTGTATACTTAATATAATTTTTTTTTTTAATATTGGGAAAGAAATTGAGAAAATATGAACACTTTTAGTTTTAGCTTTTAGTTTATCCAGACTAAAATAACAAAAGGGAGTATCTTGTAAAAGGAAAAGATTTTAAAAAGCTTATAAATAGAGCTAAGAAATTAGGTGCTGAATTTCTTGATTATTCTTCTAGAAAGCATAATAAATACGTAGTTACACTTCCTGGTGGTAAAAAAATTACTTTTGGTTCTAATAAGTATTCTGATTAACTTATTCATTAGGATAAAAATAGAAGAGAGAGATATCTTAAGAGATCTAAAGGAATAAAAAATAAACAGGGAGAGTTAACTTATAAAAATCCAGAATCACCTAATTATTGGTCAGTTAATCTTCTTTGGTAAAAAATATATAATCATTAAACAAAAAAAATGAGTTTAGAAGAAACAAAAACTAATAGAGATGTTTTAGATAATTTACAAGGAAAATTAGTATCAGGTTTTTATCTTCATAAAATTAATACGGATGGTAAAGAATTTGAAGTTTATGAAAAAGATAAAGAACAATTAGTATTATTGTGTAAAACTGGTAAAATTGAAGATGGTGGTGATGGTATTGCTGTTCGTTTACCACTTCCTCTTAGATTTGATGAAAAATGGTTTATAAAATATAAAGGACTAAATTTATCTACAGGAAGTATTATATCTTATAATTTAGAAGGATTTATAAAAAACAAGAATCACTTCGTGAATTTTACCGGGGCCACTTTTGTCTTGGCAACCCACGTCTTTTTCATCAACAAGTTTGCCGGGCGACATGAAAATCTTTTTTATTGCAAATATTCTTTAGAGATGAAAACAAGGTGTAATGAATAATGTGAAAAGACAAAATGTTAGGGAATCCCGAATTTTGAGCAGTTGAGAATTTGCGCATCTCGCTAACGTAAATATTGCGTGACAAAGGTTATTTGAAAATATTTTGTTTTGTTGCTTCATAAGTCAAAGCAGTGATAGACGTCCTCCTAATGAGTTTTACTTGTTTGTCGGAAAATATTTGACGAAGTTTCCTGTTGGGAGTGCGAATTGTAAGGTACTGAAACGCATAAACAAAGCTTGGCGCATGCAAGTTTAATAAGTTAAGATTTTTGCTTTGTCGTAGTGTACACAGTTCTACGTCGACCAAGCTTTGTCATCGCTAGGATGAACACTGTAACAATATTTTGCAATAGACAGGGATCTCATTTATTGATAAGTGGTAAATATAGTCGCATTAAACCATTCCGTGTGCAAACTAATCGAATTAATATTTACATGGTTACAGTTGTTGCTCCCTACTTCAAATTTCTGAACCAACGATATATCTCAGCGAACACTCCCAAAAGTAACGAGCCAGCGATATATCTCAGTCAGCAATATATCCCTAACAATGTAACTTTGAAAACACAGAAACGCGTTGCATTTTATAACCGGTGCCAGCCTTCGGCTAGGCCCCGGTAATAATTTAAAAGAATAAAATTATACAATAAAATGCAATTATCTAGTTACGTTCATATGACCGCAGAGAATATTATCTTTAATGAAGTCAAAGATTTTAAAGTAAAACATAGCAAGATTAAATACAAACGTATCCCAATTGAAGTTAAATATCCAAATGAAAGAAAGGAGCTTTGGTAATCGAAACTCCAATTCTTTTTTCTTTTGGAGTAAATGAGAAGAAAAACCAAGAAACAGGTAAGTTAGTTGGATATAGTATTCCGGTTTGCCTCTGGAGTAAAGATAGCGAGCCAAACACACAAGAAAAAGCATTTTTTGATGCTATAAATAATGTTGTGGCAATGTGTAGACTTCATTTAGAAAGTGAATACGGTGCGGATCTAGCATCATCTATGTCTTCACCATTTTATTACAAACAGGTTGAGTATACAGATAAGAAAGGAAAAAAGAAAACAAAAATAGATCCCTTAGCTGCGCCAGTACTCTACGCAAAACTTATTTACTCAGAAAAATCTAAGAAAATTCTTTCTTTGTTTAAGACAAAGGGAAATAAAGATTTCAATCCTTTTAAATATATTGATCAGTATTGCAATGTTAAAATGGCTTTGATTATCGAAGAAATATTTATTAGTAAGACTGTTACATCTTTACAAATAAAAGTACATGAGTGTTATATTAAACCATTAAAACCTCGCGAGTCTTTACTAACAATTGAAGAGGAAGATGAGGAGAGAGAGCAAAGCGATATTGAAGAGAATAACGAAAGTGATGATGTTAATATTGAAGAAGAGGAAGTAATTGAGTGATATTAGGATTTATTTTTAATAAATCATTTGTGTTAAAAATCAACCAAATCCTTAGAACTCACCCATGAGTTAAATTTATCAGGATAACCACTCCATTTTACTAATGCCATTTTTTTCTTATTATCTCGTCTGATAACTTTTTCTATTCTGAATGTTTGCTGCTTTGCTTTTTGTAATTCTTGCTCGTAAAAAGAACCTTTAATTGATTCTCCCATCAAATCAACAATGCGATACGTAACTGGTTTTGTTGGAAGAATTTTATCAATCACAAATATCTCCTCTGTCCAGTTTGGTGTGTAAACTTTATCAAATACTTGTCTCTTATGCTTAAAAATTTTAACTTTATCGCCAATCGCAATTGTTGGTTTACCAGGTTTTGTGTAAATCGAATCGCTGTACAAATTAGACCAAACTTTACTTTGATTCTTCTTTTCACTTGCTTCAACAGGAGTCATTTTAATGCTAAAATGTCTTGTGTTGTTGTAATCATTAACTAGCTTATCTATCTTATCAAAGTAAACAGCGTTGTTATTCACAGTAAACATCTTCCACATTCTGTTTTTCATTGTTTTATTCCATCTCTCAATAACACTAGATTTCTCTTCGTTTTCAATGTGATACAGCCTGATTCCTTTACTTTTTAGAAACTCTTTGAAATGTTTACTGATAAACTCAGAACCTTTATCAGTCCATAGCATTTGTGGTTTGCGTTTACTCTTGAATATGTCATTAAATGCTTTACTGAAGGTTTCAGTTTTCTTGTCTTTCAATCCCCTAACCCATCCATACTTGCTAAACACATCAATAACCATCAGAAGATACTTCACCCCTTTGTTCCACCTGCTAAACTTTTGCATTTCTACTAAATCAGCAGCCCAAATCGCATCAATCCCATTTGACACCACTGATCTCTTTTGAAAGTTTTTTGTGATTGGTTTGTGAAGTTCGTCGGCCAATTGTTGAGACCAATCACTACTCAACGCCGACGCGCGTTTTTTTGAAGGCCAAGTCCAATTTTTTTCTTTGCATTAATTAAGAATCTCGCAGTTGAGCCCCACTTTGCCATTTCACCGTATGGAATGGCATCCAATGACTGCATGTATCATCTCTTGGTCGCAATCGTTTTTGTTTCTCCCCATGTCGTAACAGATATCATGATATGCTGCTATCTCATCAACGCGGCTATATGGTTTAACTCTCCACTCTGTAACTTCTCCAGTGTTTGGATCACAACTTAATTGTTTGTCTAAAGGATTGTATGGGCCCATATATTTGTACTTTCGTGGAGTCCATCCTGCTTTTGGTCTCGGGAGTTTTCCAATCCATTTGTGAATATCCAACTTCAGTTAATGGGTTGTTTTCCCAGAAGTGCTCATCAATGTTAATATCGTACTTATTTCTTATAATGTCTGGCCATATATCTGGGTTAGATGAAATAATGTTGTGCATATCTGTTAAAGCTTCTGGGTTTTTATTGAAAAATGTTGTCTTATACTGTCTAAAGCGTTTTCCATCTTTTTTAAACGCAAAGAATAAATCAGGATTACTACCTTTGCGTATTATTCCTCTTGCTTTCTCTTCCGCCGCTGTTGGCCTTCTCCAAAACTTACTAGATGTAATTCCTTGTTCACTTCCAAAAGCGGATTTCATAATATCCCCAGATTTATATCTATCGTAAACTGGTTTCAAAGATGGAATAAGTTCTTGCGTTGTTTTCATTGAGATATCTGGCGCTTTTTTTACTGCAACAGTCATTGGATTAATACCCTTCCCGTCTAAATCCTTTCTAGTAGTTTTATACTTTTTCTTTGGCCTAACTTTGGTTGACAGCTGGTCCATTGCTGTTCCAACAGAATCTAAAATAAATGGAGTGAGTAATTTACAGCTTTCTTTTGTAGTTTTTTATTTCTCATTAATTCACTTGCTCCATATCGTCCCATTTCAACTGCTTTGCGACCCATCCAAGGCAGCGCATGTTCAACAAATGCATCTGCGGCTGTGCCAAATATAGTGTCAAATAAATCACCGCCCGCCTTCTCAGACGGGCTTTTTTTTGTTTTTTTTTTTTTTTTTACCACTTCCAGTTTGAGGAACTGATTACATCTTTACATATCTAACTTTTTTATTTCCACAAACTGCGCATTTACAAAAAAATTGAGTTCGCCCTCTTTTATCTTTCTGGTAACCGCTTGGCTCTGTGCAAGGAGTTACTCTTTTATCTACAATGCAATATGATTCTTTCATTTAGTATAATACTTAGATAAAAGTTAACATGGGATCGCGATACCAGTTTATAAAAGGGGAACTTGAGAATATATATGATAAATTAAACACAAGTTATGAATGTGTTAATTACACGACTAGAGTGGAAAATAAGCGGTTTTTAGAAGTATTTAAGATTCTTATGGAGATAAATGAAAAATCAGATACGCTTCAAATAATAATAAAAGGAAATTATCTTTTTGTGTAATATAATAATAAATGGATAGTGGTAAACTTTTAAAAAATAAGATACTTAAGATTGAAGAATCACTAGATGAAGCTTATGAGTTAGTTAATTTTGGATATGTGAAAGAAACATATGATAAAGTTGAGTTAAAGTTGTTTGATATAATGAAGATGGTAGCTAAGATAAGATATCTTTTAAGGGAAAAAGTTATATAGCCTAATAAAGAAATGGAAGCCAAGTTTTTTTCTGAAATAGAAAAAAATATGGATATTAAAACAATAACAGATTATGAGAAAGAAGTGCGAAAAAAGATAAATGATGAGTTTGAGAGTTTACGAAAAAAGAATGACGACCTTTCTAGAGAACTAATGGCTGGTGAATGCGAGATGTGGGAAAAAATCAGAGATGAGAACTATTCTTGGTTGAAGTTAAAGAGTGATAAAAAGAAGAAACTTTATCGACTTATTGACATTTACTCGAAATTTGATGATATAGTTGATAATGTTAAAGATTTAAGTACAAAATTTGAGAGAGTTAAGCAGCTAAAGGATTCGCCGGAGGATTCAGACTAAATAAATTTAAAGATTAAAAAAAGTAAATATAAAAATGGAAAAAAGTTTTATTAATCTAGTTGAAAAATTAAGTAATAGTGAATTACTAAAAGATTATAGGGATAAAATTCGAACTAACATTTATAAAGAGTTAGATGAACTTCCAAAAAAAAAAATGATGAATTTTCTAGAAGATTAGAAATAGAAGAAAGTCATTTATGGTTTAATCTCTTAAGAGAACATAATGATAGTAATTTAAATAATCTTGTTCATATTTATGATTGTTTAAAAAACTTAAAATATGATATTGATCGTTTTAAAGATTTAGTAAATACAGAGCAAAAAAATAATATTTATTAAATATTATCACATCAAGAATACTATTACCCCGTTGTCGTTCTAACAGGTAATATAAACACCAATAACCACAGAGAACAGTATTGCGATTTTGTATTTCATCTATCGAGTACACTGTGTGCTTTCCAGAAGTGTTAAAATACTTCATCGCTTCATTTGGCATTGTCAAACCAAATGGATCGAAGTACTCAACGACTGAATCCAGATTTCTATAACAAACCAAGTGTGTTCCGGGACCTTGAATATTATCGAGATTGATTATTCCACATTCTTTTCTGATCTTACGAGGTAGCCCATCGCGACTGTAAATCCCTCTGAGATGTTTGATACCAAGTCTCTTTACCCAATCCATGAGGTCAAAGTTGGACAATGGCTTAATTATAAAATGTCTCCTAGTATGGGAATTGAGTTGAATGGGCTGTTTTTTCCTAGAAGAAGACCTTTGCCTTTGGACGTTTTTTTTTACTCTGAACTCCCATTCCTAGTGATCCTTTATTTTCCATGTCTTCCCAAGTACCAAGAAAGGGTGGTGGGCGATGTGGATGACCTGAGAAATATTGGCCTTCACCTTGTGTTACTGGAGGTATCGGTCCACTTGAAGCCCATAACCAAACATCTTTGAAACTAAACTAATCGCCATTGGAATTCCGATTGAAGCAAGTGTTCCAAGAAATCCTCCTTCTATTTGCTTACGAGTTGGTTTGATAACCAGTCGGCCTCCTGTTTTATAAACTTTGTTAATTTGGTCTCTTTGTGCTTTAGTGAACTCTTTTGCAAAAGGAGGTAACATTAGAATGAATTTACGAGGAATTGAAATTCCTTTTCCAAATAACTTTTTTAATCCTATCTCACCGAGTGCAGAAGCAGCTCCAGTAGCCAATGCAGGTGCGACTTTTGAAACTCCTTGCATTGCAAAAGGAAGAAGTTTAGCACCTAGAGATGCTAGACTAGTGAATAAGTTTCAGCCATGTTTTACTGATCGCCTAATGTGTGTTCTACTTATTTTTATATCTGATCCTGTTCCATTTGCCAGATCCGCGAAGATGAGAGTGTTTTAATCGAAGAGTTGGTGGTGATTTACTTCTGATTGCAGAAGCCAGTTTTGACTTTTGATTGGGTGTAAGCGTTACACCATATTCAATATAAGTTGTCATTTTATTTTACTAGTTATATTAAATTCTTTTCATGTAAAACAATTGCGAAAATAGTATAATCAGCATTGGGTTCCCGTCTTAGTTCGTAATGAAATGAAAGTTTTACTTTCTCTTCTAGATTTGGTAGTTTAAAATAAATAAATGGGAACAAAGTTTCAAAATTATTTCTATTAAGAAGTGTTCCACCACCATACATAACATATCTGTAAACTCTGGATGGCTCTGTGGATAGCTTGTAATGAATATTGGGGTAAACATTTTCATTTGCTTAAAGGTAACATCTTGTTAATTTTCTGTTATTTGCGACATTAAAAGTTTGGTATAAAAATGGGTTTGCTGTTTGTAAGTTTATATTTGCACTGTTTACAATGAAAATAAAAACAGGACGTGGTTTTGATACATCATTTGTTATTCTAAAATTTCCTTCTCTTTGTCTTAAATCTGTAGAATTCGTCACGTGCTCATGAAGATAAGTCCAAGATTTTGGAGCTGTTGTTGTACATTTTACTCTAGCAATGTATAGTTGTATTTTTGTAATTATTACTCTACAAACGTCATTACCCTCCCTCCATATAAGGTTGTTGTCACTTTCAAATTCAAAGTTTAATTCGAATCTGGAATCTGGTAACATCTTATTCCTAAGAGCCTCAAAAAATGGATACCGATTAAGAGGAATTTCACAATTAACAATGCTCGAATTTCCCGATAGTTTTTTTCCTATTAACAAAACCCTCATTGAAAGTGGGGTCTTCATTTTCAATAAAAGTTCTTGTCGTCCAACCAGTGTTTGTAAGATTTGTTCCGTGGTGGACTTGCCTTGTTAAATATTTATTTCTGTTTAGGGAATTTGTTGTATCAAGATAGTAAAGTTCATTTGATCCAATAGTTTCAGCATAAGAAGGATTATACTCAAGTAGATTTTTAATATTTACAACGTGATTGGCAGAATTACATTAATAAACCTCTCGGCCTTTAATACCAAAACTATTTTTTTTTACAAATGAACTTGCACCATTAACAATTCCATTTTTATCTTTGATGATTATATTACGTCCAGTTAGTTTTGTTAGTTTAAAATCCATTGACAGCCTCGCATTGTACCAATCAAGGGAAGTCTTATCAACAACAAAAATTACCATTACCTCTGTTTTGATAGTTATTATTAGCAAGGATTATTAAAGGTTGTTCGAGATCAAAAACTAAATCTTCATTCATTTTATGTAATGGTTATACTAAGCTCTAAGAAGTAGTTGTCCATCTTCTTGTTTTATTTCTGCCTCCCTTTCGTGAAGAACAAGGGCATAAAAGTTATAATCAGCGTTTGGATTGGCTGTTAGTTCGAAATGAAAAGCTAGCTTTGTTACTCCATCTTTGATGTCCATTTTTTGTTTTGTTAGATCAAGGTAGATAATTGGATAAACTTTTTTGCAGCTGGCCATATCAAGAATTGTTCCCCCTTGAAAATCGTTGTTTGCGTGAACATACTCCAGGAGGCCTCTGAAAACTCTTGTTAAATCTGTAGATGGTTTATAATGAAAATCAAGGTATTCATTACCATTTCCAACCTCGAGATAACATCGTGATACGTCGGCATTGGCTGGTAAATTACCAAAAGTATCATATATAAATGGATTGGCTGTTTGTGCGTTAATTCTTGCCGTTTGATAGCCCAAACAAATACATGGCGTGGTTTTGAAATAGCGGTTGTAATTCTGTAATGACCTGTTTGTTGCTGTAGATTATTTGATATATGAACGACTTCGTTAAGATAAGTCCATTTGTAAGGTTTAAGATAATTTTCCATGTATAACTTTTGGCCTTCTGCGTTAAAAGTTAACTTTGGAATATATAACTGAAGTCTTTTTACAATAACTCTACAATCAGCACCAGCTTGGAACACCAAATTTGCGTCACTTTCGATTTCAAAATTTAGTTCAATTTTTGTGTTAGGAAGTAGTTTGTCTTCTAATGCCTCAAAGAAAGAGTACCTATTAAGAGGTATTTCACAATTGACTAAAGCTGAAGTACCTAGTACTTTTTTCCTTAAATGAAAACCTACATTGTATTCTGCTTGAGCAGGACGTTCCTCTACCTACATGTGTCATGTGTCATGTGTCAGGATAGTAAAATTCTTTGGTTCCAATACTCTTTGCATAAGATGAATTATACTCAAGTAAGTTTTTAATATTTGCAACATGATTTGCTTCATTACAACTATAAACTTCTTTTCCATTTGCCAGGATAGTTAATTTTTTTTATAAATGAGTTAGAACCATTTACAATTCCATTGTGGTCATCAACTGCAATATCAGCGCCGTTGGCTAGTAGTTGGACTTCAAAATCCATTGAAAAACGCGCGTTCTACCAATCAAATGGAGTAGCCTCTTCCGTATTATCAGCGATAAACTTAAGGTTTGGCGCTCTCACTTGGGCGGCGTTATTCGCTAGGTCTGCTGTAACTAGTGGTTGTTCTAGATCAAATATAACATCTTCATATCTCTCAAGATATTTTAGGTTTCTAAACGATTTCATTTTATATTAATAATTATATAATTTTCTTAAGTTCTCCAAATATTGGTTATATTCCTTTTCAGTCATTTTTTTTATGTGATGTTGTTTTTTTTGGTGGTAGGAACACTTTCGCGAGAAAGTGTTTTTACTATTTTATCACCAGCCTTTTTGTCGGCAAATGTCACTTTTTTGGGGGGCGGAGGCGGCGGTGGAGATTTGTTAGGAGCTGGTTTTTTAAAAAAGGATTTTACTGAATCCATTATTCCTTCTCCATAGATGTGTTGTTTAGTGTATTTTCCTATTTCTGGGTCGTATTTTCTTTTAAACTCTGATTGTCGCATCATTTTATCTATAGAATTATACTAATGAATTTTCTTCAGTATGGCGAAGCAACAGCGTCATAAACCAATCAATACCTTTGAGGCCAATAGGTTTTCCGAGTGAATCAGTTACATATATTCTCATTTCAGAAATGTAATTAGAACTCACAGGGCAGTACAGTTGCCTCCTTGGTTCGAAAGTGAATGGATAACTCCTCGTAAGATTATCAGTTGGTATAACGGCAATTGTGTTTGTATTTACTCCACTTACAACGGAGTCTTTTATAGTGGTTGTGTTTATGTTTAATGAGTCAATCGATTTCGTAATATTAGGGAGGCGTGTTCCATACTCTGTTTTAGTCACCAGTTTCTTTTCAAACCCGAGGAGGTCTCCAAAATCTGTTCCACGCAAATCGAGTTGGTATTTTCCATCAAGTGATACTAACACTCGATAGGTGGAGAGAGTAAAAGTCAAATTGATTGAATACACCTTTTCTCCTTTGGAACCTGTTGAGTGATGAGACTTTTGATCCATGTACTGATGAATGTAATCGTTGATATCTGAATAAGAATACATTCCATCTGTAAAAGTAATTGTATGCCATGTTGTTCCATCATGGGTGTATTTGATTGTATTGTTTTTATAATCACTTCTGATGTTTTACCAAGAGTAAGTCATCGACAACCTGTCGAGGGCGAGAAATTGAATTACTAGGTGGATCACTTGCTGCAGGAAACAATGGTGTATTGTCTGAATACATTCAAATCGCTCATCAACTTAGAGACCTTGGGATTGTTACTAATAACCAACTTAATGCGCTTCTAAGAAAGTATATAAACATAAGATAAATGAATGAAAGTGCGATTCATATTTCCTCTGTTAAACGAGAACAATTGTTAAATACAATGAATAGTTATTTTAATTCAATTAGCTATAAAGTAGGAAAAGGTATTTACTTTTAATAGCTTTTTGGTTGTCTCTAACTCCTTCTGTAAGAGCCAACTGATTTTTAAGCATTTCTTGGTTTTGAGTAAAAATATTTTTCTTTTTGGGGTCCTCAGGTTTTTCAAACTGGGAAATCAGAGGTTTAAATGTCTCACTAAATCCTTCTCTCATTTTGTTTTTCCCAGGTGGTTTCCTTTATTCGACGTCTCACCTGTTTAGCAAGATTATCGGATTCAATCTTATTTTTAGCCCAAGTTTTGATTTCGTTAATATCCATTTTTATTTAATTATATAAATGGAAATACCTAACTATGATAGCACTGATAACCCAGATAAAAAATACAAACAGCTGTATCTTTACATGCCATCAGACACATTTCGAATGTTAATCTGTGGAAATAGTGGAAGTGGTAAAACTAATTTGTTGTACCACATGTTAATTAAGCCACTGTTGTACAACTATGAGATTTATCTCTATGCGCGTAATCTAGAGCAGGATAAATACAAACGGTTAATACAAAAGATGAGAGAGTTGTCCCATAAACTCGGCTATGAAATACTTCATGTGAGTAATGATGAAATAACCCCAGTGACAGAAATGGATTATGAAGACAACCAAAAACTTGTAATATTCGATGATTACGTCTGTGATAAAAACCAGAGACAAATCATTGATTATTTCATTCAAGGACGTCATAAGAATCAGTCCAGGCCACAACCAGATCTGGATATATGATGACGTCACCCACATTTGCAAAATGGCGCCCACGCTGAGAAACACGACGAAAGGTCACTTCCTGGCTCTTTGCTGCGCTTAGAAGTGTCCTTTCCCCAGACTACTTTGAGAGCTGTGACTTTAGACAATGAGAGATCAGGGGTGTAAAAAAAAAATGCCGTCCGATAAAGGTTTGTGCGTTCTTGGGAGGTAAAACGACCGAACACGAGAGTTTTCCAGCTCAAAGAAATGCCCGACAGGGAGCAAAACATCGAAAAAAAGAAGGTGAGTGTCATTTTTTGGACTGTTGGAAAAAATTTTTTGGAAATCTACATAAGATTTGCTTGTTGATAGTGGTCTGTTTGGTGTAGTGCAAAGCAGTTTCACATAGTGCTGTGCTTTTAAAGATGCAAAAGTCAGTTGCGCAGTTAAATGACTGCCTTGTCACGAGTTCAGAAAAGTGAAAACAACAACAATAGCCCCAAGCGAGCCCACATTGTCGGAGGCAATACGATAGCTTTGAATACAAAAATCTTGACTGAAATGATGATGGTTGATTAATCACTGTCATGAGTCAGTATGCAACAGTGCAAACCAGTTTCCCACTTATATAATTTTCGATTACTGAATTGAAATGTCAGTACTGACAATATAATAAGAGCATTGGAGTGTATAAGAGCATAAATGTACACAGATTGAGGTACATAAAAAAATGCCTGTATTTTCGATTGCTCATATAATTTTTTAATTTATTATTTATTTGTTACTTTACTTTGCCTTAGGTTATGACATGCAAGGTGGAAAATGTGAAGAATGGCTGAAAATACACTTTAAACAGGACACCAAATATAATGATCGATCTTACAAAACTGTTCCATATTTCATTACAGTCAAACCCCATTAATATGGACACTGGAGGGGGCCATAGGAAGTGTCTATATAACGGAGGTGTCCATATCAAGCAGGTCCTGTTATAAAAGTCAAAAATACACTTTTTTATCGAAATACTACAGCATCACACCTAACATCTTTAAACATCACTATGCTCTTATTCTGCAGACTGTGTCCATGAAAACACACGGAAGTCTCGAGAAAATCGATCAAAAATTATGTAAAATTTACCATCTCGATTGATGTCAAAATTGTCTATTATTGTTGTGCACAATTCATTCATTTTGGTGTACTGTGATGCTGGGAACATGGACATGGCGTCAATTAAGTGAAAGGTTTTTTTACCCTACAAAAAAAAGAGGTTGACTGCAGCACACAATGGACTATAAAGTGTGCGGATTAGCGAGGTTGACTTTATATGAGAATCTGTTCATTGAGGAAGAAAAAAACGCCCATCATCCACTTTAACAGGTCAGTCTGTATTAAGTGGGTTGAATAAAGAGAAAAATTGAGGGTTTTCCCCAGTGACCAAGGAAACTTCCCATAATAAGAGGGAGTCCACATTAAGCTGGTGTCCGTAAAGAGGGGTTTGACTGTATGATACAGGACAAACATAATCTAATAATAATAGAGGCTTAGTGCCGACTAAGTTTTTCAGTGTGTATGTATTCCATCCACAGTGACAGGATATTACTATAATGGCATAGTTTTTACACTAAATGAAGAAAACTCAGAAACCCAGGCATTGTTTGGGACAAGACAAGACAGCCTTTATTAATCATAACAAAATACAATACATGGTAAATAACTAAAAGGTATTATTTAGTATAAAAATAAAGTGCTCCAACAAATAAGAAAGACCTAACTAAAAAAGAATTAAAACAACCTCAATCAAATAATAAAAGTGATCACACTGTCCATGAATAGAACAAAATAAAACCCTACAGGGAGGGAGGGAGGGAAATGATTGCTAGTGCAGTAAAAGTGAATGTTGCTACTGCAATGCCAAGTGAGAATGCGACTAAACTAGAATTGTATCCGTCTGTAACCCATATTACAGTCGTGGTATTCCTATCTACCGTAAAACTACTATATCCTAGGTAGTAGACACATGGTATTATAAAATCTCTTATGCCAAAAAACTACTGTGATGCTGTACTAGCCCTGCATCCCAATGTGACACCTTCCTTTGAGATTTAGAACCGCATCAGTCGTCTCAACTGATGCACCCCCTTGAGAACAATAATTTAACGGAACAAATTTTTTTAAAAAATATTGAGATATAAATATATATAATATTTTCTATTCTTGTGAAAAACCATTCTATTAAATATTTTGACAGAAACAATATGAAAAGTCTGCACATCTATTTCATTTTTCAAAGCTGTTTTTCAAAATACAATTGTCAAATTATGTTTACATCTTCTCAGTGACTATTTAACAGCTATTAGAACACGAATAAGTCCACTTGCATTCCCATTTTCATCCGCAATGGGGTTTTGCAATTTGCAATAAGCAAAGACAGAAGTTCGTTAACGACTGCTTACGACTCTTCGCGAGTGCAATTTCTACAAATTTTATTTATTTCTTTGACCTTCGCATATTTCCAACATGTGTGACGATTCAATATACTGGAAATTTATATACAGCAAGAATAATTAGCATTAAGATTATCATTATCAATCCTTAGATCGAAATTAGATTTTTGCGCGTATGGTATTGCGCCCGAAGTAGAATAGAACAGACTTCTCCAGGTCGAAGCTGTGCTCGCAGAAATTACTCCAAACAGGACTTCTTAAAACCTTACCACTTGAAATGTATCGCGGTATTCAAATTCCCTATTCTTCCAATTCGATCGGAGTCGTCGAGTTGTTTCTGGTCTATCATCAGAAATCCACGGGTGTTTACAGAAAGCGTTCTCGATCATTAACATCTCGATATTCGTAAATCGAACGCTATGACGCATAAAATAATCTCGATTAATCGGCTCCGTATTGCTGTTACTTTTCTTCAAGGTACATTCCACCCAAAGCACTCGACAGCTGTTAATTTTTTTTGCTTCGAAGTTTCCCTGTTCGACATTTCTGTCGAGCTTAGTCCTTTCGCAGTCAAGTCAATGTTTTGGTTGAGCTCTGAGCCAATCAGATTGCAGGAAATTACATATCCAGATCTGGTTGTGGCCCGGACTGAGAATTGCTCGGTGATTTACCTCAGTCAATCATTTTACAAAACTCCAAAGGATATTCGACTGAATTGTTCTCACTACTGCTTGTACGAATTTCCATCATCGAGGGAGTCCAACAGAATATCATCTGAGTTAGGAGTTGAAAAAGAACAGTACAAAGCGGCAACTAGAAAACCGTACACATTTCTGTATGTGGATAAACCAAAGAAATTCATTGCAAAAAACTTTACCGATTATATATGCAATAATTAAAATGGGAATATTTAACGAACAATCTTTTGATCATCCATTTGCTAGGGGAATTCAAGGCGCTCCAGGAGTTGGATTTAATCTCACTTCAAGTGGGGATTATGATATGATAAATAAAAAACTAAGAAATATTGGTGCTCCGGCATCCAACACCGATACAGCAACCAAGAAGTATGTTGATGACAATTCTGGGGATGGAAACACATCATAAATAACAGTAGATTCGAACATTGATATGAAAGATACATAACGTATACTAAACCTTAAAGGGCCATCTGATGCAGATGAAGCAGCAACAAAATCATACACTGATGATAATTTTTTTAAAACTGATGGATCAATAGAAATGAAAGGAGGGATAAATATGGGCGCTCATCGCATAACTCATCTTGGTGATCCTACAGGAGAAGGTGATGCAGCTACAAAAAATACACTGTCAATTTGGTGAACACTACAATAGCTGACTATGTAAAGCAAGATGGAACTGCCGCAATGACTGGCGACTTTAACATTGCTGGTCATAAAATACTAAATCTTCGAACACCGAGTACAAACAGTGAACCAGCAACAAAGAATTATGTAGATGATGATTTTCTAAATCTAGATGGAACAAAAAAAATGAGTGGAAATCTGCACATGAACAGCAAAGAAATAAACAATCTTCCACTTCCAACAGGAAATAATCAACCAACACCATTGGGTTTTACTGATTTAAAATATCTTCACGTTGCTGGAACAAATAAAATGACTAATAATCTAAACATGGACAATAAAAGTATAATTCATTTACAGTCAAACCAGGTCAAGCGTTCCCGTCGCTAACAAACTAGTGAATTCATTAATGGAAAAATGATTTCGTTTGTTGATTCAATAATCCATTCATAAAATGAATAATCCAACGGTCAAATTGTACCTCGATTCAATAATCAAATGTTGATTTGGTTTATGAACAAAATCTACCTGTTCTTTATTTTTGTCTGTTCTGTTCAATCGTATTTGCTTCCCTTTTCCTGCCGTTTACGATTGCGTTTTTCATTGCCTTTAATCAAAATAACAGCTAGAATAGACAGACCGCAAACGCAAAGAAACTGAAAAAGGCCGAGGATCGAAATCCACCAATCACCGCACATACACTGACCTCAGTTTGACCGTCGTGTTTTCTAAGAGGTCAGGCCTAGGTCTGTTGCACTGATTATTGGCAGCAAACTGGCGTACATGTAACAGTTTGTTTGGGTTTGAACTTCAGAACTCGCCAGCACTCGACTCTCAGAAAAAAAAGAGGAAAAAACTAAATTCTGAGGTCAACTTGTGGAAAGTTTAATTTTTCAAAAAACAGTAATCGAATCAACATTCGATTATGGAATCGAGGCTAAATATGACTATTGGATTGTTCATTTTATGAATGGATTATTGAATCAACAAACGAAATCATTTTTCCGTGAATGAATTCATTAGTTCGTTAGCGACGGGAACGCTTGACCTGGTTTGACTGTAAGACCACCGACAAACCCCACAGACGCCGCAACCAAAAAATATGTGGATGATAACACAGCTGCCGCAGATCTCAGTTCTTACTTAAAAAAAGATGGGAGTGTTTCAATAACTGGAGATCTTAATGTTGGCGGCCATAAAATAACTAATCTTGAAACTCCCATTTCAGATAGTGACGCGACAACCAAAAAGTATATTGATGGCCTCGTTCACCACTCTAATGTTCAACCAAGTCATTATAAAGATCAGTTTAGTTATCTCATGTAAAGCTCGATTCAATGGACGGATGAAATAGATGGTGGAAATAGTTTTAATATAACAAAGATAGATGACTTACTTTCTATTCAAGGCAACTTTCACGACTACAATCACAAAGTTCTTTATACGACTATAATTAAAAATTCCCAAGGTGGTTATAAATATAAAATGGGAATTAATTTTTACAGACTAGCTGCAAATACTGATTACACCCTGTGATTAGAAATACTTAACCGTGATTATCAACTATGGCATAAATCCCAGATAAGTGTTGACAAAGGCACATCACAAGGATTAACGATTGGAGATGTTACTGTGAGGAAACTTTCCCACAGGTACAGCGATTCAAAGGGTCAAACACAATTTATGTATTACCATAGAATAATAGTTAATTTCAGAAAACTAAACTCTGGCACCAAATATTTTCTCCACATACTTGTTAACATCCCCCAAACAGGAACTGATCTGGCGGTGTATCCAAAAAACTTTTCAGGAGTTTACATAATCAGTTATGGCATCACGAGTACAGTTAGCAATATCGACCCAGATAAAGTTTACGACTATCACACCGCATTTGAGTGGTGTACAATGTCGACATCAACGCAAATCAAAAAGCAATTAGAAATATCAAACTTGATCGAAACAGTGATAATAGTGCTGCAACAGTTGCATTAGTAAAAGAACTAGCTCCTTACACCGCAAACGCTCTTTACAGATTATACTTTAGTGAATTCTATGACTTTACTGATGCGGATAGGTATAGATTAAATATGGGTGTATCTGGAGTTGTTTTAAATTCTTTAAAACCTAATATTACACTACCCGATAAAGACCTAAGTGAAATAAAAAAAGGTGGCTTAAATGTTAATGGTTAGATATTACTTTTTCTCCTTCTCATTCTTCGAAATCTACTTTATGTATTGTTTTTTATCATTGGAGAAATAGGAATTTTAGCCTAACTAAATATATATCAACAAACAATAATATTTTATTGAAATTAAATTATGATAAAACAAACAATTCAGTAAAATTAAATATTAATAAAATAACTCTAAGTTTTACCATGCCAAGTAAAAAAAAATTGTTTTATCGCTAACAGAAAATTTTGATGCAAATGTTACAAAAGTTGCAATAAGTAACTACAGCTCAACATTAACTATACCAGCCGTTCACTACTCCACTAGTCAACGTTGGAAGTTTACAACTGAAGATGGAGTGTTAAATAAATTAATGTATTCTCCAAACGTTTACGACTTTGACTCTATTCAATTTCACAAAGTAATGCTTCAAGAAAAGTTAAGTGGATCTTATATAGTGTAGTGTCCCCCTCCCTGAATTATATGGGTAAAAGAATAAATGAAAGATATATTCAATCACATAGATAAATCTGTGTCAGAATCAGACGTCACAACTCTCAAAGATTTCTATAAACATTATCACAAGAAATACTGGTGTTTTAAGAAGTCATACAAAAGATATAAATTTCTTGATGAAACACTTGCACTGTCTGGAGGAGGATTAGTTGTCATGGGCACGATAATAGGAGGAATAACACTAAATCCAATATTACTCGGTGTAATAAATGGCGCCTGGATGGTCGTGGCAAGTATTGCAAAAATGAAGAATTACAAGAAAAAGATTGAAATATCACAAATTGCATTTACAACATATGAAAAAGTGCTGCGTTCAGCCCTGCGGGGTGATGAGTTTAACAAACAAGAGTTTATTGATCGCATGAAACTAATAGATGAAATGATAATTGATCAGACTCCTATAGCAGATAGATCTGCTAAGAGATATAATAGAAAGTTTAACTAAACTGGGTTTTCAATTTCTATATACTTATAATATAGAAATTAGATGTTTTTTCAATTCGATGGATAACTATATAATGTTTTCTTAGTGTTTCTTTATTAAGAAATGCTCTTGTGCAATATTTACGTGGAATACGAACACCAGCCATATATTTATGTACTTGCTTACATAAATAATCATAGTCATTACTAAGAATAAATTTATAGCAATTTTCCTTATACCTTTCTTTCATTTCTCTTTGTGCATCTGAAATTTGATAAATATTAGTCGGAGATTTAAATTCTATACAAAGACCATTATAATCTTTATGATAATTAACTATCATTAAATCTGGTTGACCTTTTGTATATCCCTTTTTCCAACTATCAATTCTTTTGAATGGAGTATCCTGGTTTTCCCCAAGTCCTGCTACCATGATGGCATTTGGATAATAATTTCTAATTAGGTGAACAACTTTACAATGTAAGTCTGTCTCATTTTCAATCTTAAACATTTTGTTATTCGGGTTGTCGATAAGTTTGTAGTAACCAAATTTTCTTATAGGTGGGAGAACTTGTGATGTTACCCACTTTTTGAACTTTTTAGCAGTTTCTAATTTTGAGGATAATACAAGGGAGTAAAAACCGGATTCATTTATGAAAAAAGACTGTTGCAAACGCCCCCGTCATTTCGACGCCCCCTTTGTATTTATCCTCCTCATCAACATGTTTTCTTATAGCTTGGGTAGTATCACTATAACCTAGGATCTTAGCAACATCTTTTCCTAGGAACCAAATATTTTGTTTATTATCAATATATGAAGTCAATTCGATTCCTAAATCTTCATTAGCAAACTTTTTTCTCCAACATATTTGCTGCTTATATTATACTTTTAACTCTTTAAGCTCATTTATATCTATTCATAAGATAGAAATGATAAACACAATGGTAGCATATGTGAATGTTTACTTTCCCACCTATAGAACACTACCCTGGGTGCCAGAGACTTTTCTAGCGCGGTTTTCGGTTTCTGTCAAGCCTTTATAGTGATCCGCGCGAAAACCCTCTGGAGCAGAGCGCTATTGCTTTGATGGCGCCGATCCAATCGTTAGCACGGTTAAATCAGTTGGTCCAGATTTTGGACAAGACGGCTGATTGGCTACTAACGACCACCTGAGGGACTTTGAATCTAACAGACGCTACAATTGGTTGACAAGAATAGACCAGCACGTGAAAGAATATTTCGAACTGTGCTGTTGACATGACGTAAGTGTACCTGCGAGAAGAGTTGTGATGGTGGCTTCGGAAAGTTTTGAAAGAGCATTGACGGAAAAAGCATGAGCAATGCACTAGAAGGGTTTGACGGTGTAGACAAGTTAAGCTATGAGCAAACAAGTGGGGTATTTAATTTTATTCAACGCAATTAAGCTTTTATCACATTCAACTTTTGCATTAATATACGATTTAAGATTTACTAATTTCCTTTTTCAAACGATTACAACACGTTTTGAAATAATTTGTATTGATGGATTGGAAATATATAAACAAAACATGTATTTTTAGTATAAACAGGGGGTCGATAGCCAACACACAACTTTTACCTCATGCCAAAATGCTGCTTGTTCCAATGCATTTATTTTTTCTCTGACGCGTAGATTATACTCTGGAGGAAAACGTTTTGACTGAGCAAATTTGATTTTTGCCGCTTATTTCATATTCAAAGGACGTGACACGCATACCGGGTATTGATTTTCTGCGGTTAATGTTTCTGGTCGGCATGATTTGCCCTCTTATGCAAGAGCATTTTCTTTGACCTCTTTTGAAATGTTAAACTCTTCATTGCGGCTAAATAAGGGTTTTAGGTTGTTTATTTTCTCCAAAGTATTGGATCTGCATAATTATAAGCGATTTTCTTATTGCCAGTGAATGTGACGGTTTCCTGCAATGTTTTGTCACGCTGGGCCCAACTCGTTAGCGTTTTTAGCAGGATGTTAAATTCTCACGGATAGTGATTTTCAGATCCAATGATCCAAATCTCGAAGAATGGATTGCAGCTTAAACTGAAGCTACATCAACTACGGAGAATTGCGATGTGATTCGGTCATGATTGCACTTAAAGCAATTAATTTAAAATTTAGCTTGTTTTTCTGGGGATAATGTGATTCGTTGGACATTTCTTCACTCGCCGGTCCACATGATCACAGTTGGAGACTTCCAATCTGATTGGCGTATAAATGTAATCCCATAAAAAGCTCAAAGGTCAACGGGGACAGTAAAAAGCACCGCTCCGTGCCAGAGGTTTTTTCTCGCGGCTTCGCCGCTCCTGGCTTCGGCCTACGGCCGAAGATGTGTCGGCCTTCGGCCAACACCGAAAATTCCCGCCGTACGCGAGAAAAGCCTCTGGTACCCAGGGTAATAGAACAAAGTTTTACCCTGATAACTTTATTAAAGCTTGTCTTGTTTATCAGTTTCTCTATGCGAAGTATTTCACACAAAAACTAGACATAAACCAAATTATTTATAGACTATCAGACTCAAGACACTCCCTCAGATCAAACTCATCTATTCTCGCTAATCACTTAATATCTAGTCTCGCTTTTCGCGCTTTATGGAAACAGTATAGAATTGGTAGGGGATGTGTTTATGCAATCAACACACCGTTTAAAGAATGCGAAGTAATTGGCTATCTAACTGGAATTGTTTACTGGTGCTTTCATAGAGGAGTTGTTGAGTGATTTAAAACATTTCCACCACTTTTCATAATTCTCCAGAGTCTGTTTAGAAATCTTTAGATAAACTAGTTTGTACCTTTTATTTCCCATTTCTTCTAAGATTTTTTTGGTTAGATAATAAATACTTATCATTCTCTTCCGACAAAATTGTTTGTTTAGTATTTCCATGACGTGGTTGTCTATCGCCATTGGTTTATTGTATAAACAATACTTTTGATCCTCAGTCAGGTGTAATCTTTTAGAAACTTGATCAATCTTTTTTTTTTGTAATGATACTTTGTCTGATAAATAATCTTCTGTCGAAAATGTAATCGATAATAATCTTTTGGATCATAATACCCCAAAACATGACCATTTACTCCCCCACAGGAGTCACAAATGTTATAACCTGAATGCACACAAAAAAATCACTTTGGCAATTCCAACATCTAACTTCCCTTACTGCTTGGTTGGTAGAGGCGCTGAAGGTGATATTGTAACTTCTTAATATTTCTAGATAGCGTTCTATTTCCTCTTTTGTGTAAGACATTTTTTTTTTATTTTTATCTAATTATCTTAAAGCAACTGTTTTTACTTTGTCCTCTATCAAAATGCGTTTGTCGTCATCATTACTCAGAGCAATTTTATTTACTTCCTTTGAGTAAATATCATGATTTTCGCTTTCAATAATTTTCATTGATCTCATTTGTTTTCACCGGAAAATAAACACTGGACATAATCTTCAAATGTTATACCCTTTTTAACTACATTCTTCTTTATCCCCTTACACTTTTTAGTTAACCCCGGCTCACTCGCTTTGCTCGTGTCTTCAACTTTGAAACTATAAATCTTCGAACGAAGACCGACAAAGTGAGTAATTTGACGACCAGCTACTTCATCTTTAAACATTCCTATTACTTTCTTATTAACTCCTGTTTCTATACCGGATGGGTGGTTAGGAGGATAATCAGATGTGTCAAACTTGGTTTCTATGTCTTTTGATATATCTTTGTAAAAATCATCCGTATGAATAAGGTACAACAGTGAGTCAGTATCTGTAAATAACAACTCTGCTGCATCTGTATATTTCTTTTGGATGTAATTATAATGAAAATCAAACATTAATGTTTTTGACAGATCCAGTATTGCCTGTCTAACATATACTGGTTTGTTAAAATATACTTCAGTTTCCTTCATATGTACTGCAATAAGATTACGGTCAAATATTGTTGCCCTATCAAAGTTTGGACAACTTGCTAATTTTGCAGCTTTGGCACGATTATCAACAAGTATTATATTTTGTCTTTTCCTTATGTTTTCTATTGTTTTTCCAAATACGGAATTATTCATCAGTTTAAAAAAGTCTTTTTCAAAACTGTAGGCTGCTGTTTTTCTAAGTTCAGTATTCTTTCTGATGTAAGGTTCCATCCAAGAACTCTGATTAAAAGATATTCCTCTGTGAACAGCAGTTAGTCTCATTCCCATCTCAAGATATTGCCTTAGATTTCGGTAATGTACAACATAGTTTTTTCGGGGTTTAAAATGACAAATTAGTTTTTCAACACCATTAACAATCATTTTCTTAGGTGCTAGAGGATAGTCATTATGTGATTTCCATAGATCAGGGGTGTATTCCAAATCTACTTCAAATATATATCCTTTTTTATTCCTTTGATTTATCATACTATGATTTGCTTTCTCCAATATATCCATTATAGTTTCTTTTGTTAAATTTTTCATCCATTTAAATCCATGTGTGGGAAGTGATTGTGACATTCCCCATCCATAAAGATTATTTGCATCAAGGTATTGAATGTAAGTAGAAGGTTTATCAGGATCGTAATCTTTCATGTATTTATTATTTGCTTCTGCATATCTCTTTGATACATGTGATATTCCTCCCCGAATACCTTTTTCAAACATCATCAACATATCATAGTCATGCAACAGTTGTAATTCTTGACCTGTTTCTTTAAGACATGCATCCCAAGGCAGACCAGGAGATGTGTTATAATGTGCTGGATCCAGATTGTAATGTTTTCGGCAAGTTTTTCTAAAGTTCTCAAATACATCTGCCAGCAATAGAACATCAGACTTTAGTTAAAAAGCGTGATAATCTCTAATTGTTTTAGATTTAAAAGTATTCAAGACTTAAATAGCGTGTTGATAATCATCATCTGATATACCTTCATCATCTAGTTTTGAATAGAATTCTTCTTTTGGAGGTAATTGTGTTTCAGATAGTTTTTCGATTGAGGAAACATAATCATAAGGATAAACTCCCTTACGAGTTAATAACTCTACATTTTCCCTGAATATTTCTTTTGTATTATGAAAATCATCTGGTTGTAAATTACCAACAAGATTAGCAAGACTCGTCTGAAGAAACTTGAATGAATCAATAAATCGTATTTCAAAATACAATGAAACCGTTTCTCCAGTGCGTTTTGATTTATACTCATCAACTTTAACCTTTTTTGAAAACGAAATATACTTTTCTTCTGTCGATGGAATACAGTTTAACTCGCCTAGTAAACAAGCAAGTTGCTTTATAGACAAATGTGCATCTTACCCTTGAAGATTATGAAATATAACTGGAAGAATCATTGGTTTTCGACACTGGAGATTGCAACTGTTATGAGCAGCTCCACGGTATTGGCCAGTAAAATGACAATGATCTCTAACTTTATCAGTGAGTAATTCTTTCTTACAAATATAACAGATTTCTGACTTTTTAAATGAATCTTGTTCGGATTGTGTTAATTTAAGAATTTTTGGACGACAATAAAAATCATTATATATCTTATTTGTTACTTTTGCAATTTTAGAAACAAATACCGCAGAAATGTCATCAGTACTTTTAGTTTTTGTGTAAAGACTTGATTTAAAAATGGTATTATAATCTATTCCTTTGATGTATAAACAAAATCCTGATGGTTAAAATCAGCTAAAATATCCAAAAGTGAATCTTAATAAAAAAAACATCAATTTCATCAATCTCTTTATTAGTAGTACCATTAAGATAATTCAATCTCTGGGCTTTTTCAAATCTTTGTATAAACTTCTTTATCTTGTCAACTCTATGGTTTTCAGATACTCCCTTATCCGCCTTATTTATATTATCTAAAAATACTTAAAACACTTATCAATACCTCTTATAAAAAGATATTCATTTTTGTAATCTTTTGCATAATCTGGGACTTTCTTTAGAGTTGAGTTACAATTATGGTCAACCTGAGGTAGGATACCCATTTTACTAACTACTAAACGTCAAGCCAGAAAGTTAGATAGAAAGGTAATGCAAAGAGATATAACTCTTACCAGGAAAGAGAACTCGGAGTCTTTCACTAATGGATTTGTAGGAAAACTCTCGTTCAACAAGCTCTCGTATAAACACCTCGTCCACTAAGTCCGCTAAACTCATTTTGAAGGTGACTTTTTTCAAATAATTCTGCTTATCGGTTCCAGTTTCTCACGCTTTAGCCTCGGTCACAAGCTATTTCCAGGCCGCCTCGTTCTAGCTCTATGGAATCAAGGCAACATAATTACCTTTTAGTAAATACGTTGAATTCCAAATACGGTGCATAAATAATCAGTGATTATGGAATCGAGGCGACATAATTCCAGAATGCACATACCGTGAAAAAAAAAAGGAACATAGAATCGAGCCAACATAATTCCAGAATGGAGAATGCAGAATTTTAAATACAGTAAATAAAAGAAGGAACATGGAATCGAGGCAACATAATTTCAAAATGCAGAATGCAAATGTCGTAAATAAAACTAGAATCATGAAATACAAGTAGCAAAATTCCATAATTCAGAATGCACATACCGTAAAAAGAAAAAGGAACATAGAATCGAGGCAACATAATTTCAGAATGGGGAACGCAGAATTAAAATACAGTAAATGAAACAAGAAACATGGAATCGAGGCAACTTAATTCCAGAAAGGGGAATGCAGAATTCAAACACCGTGAATGAAACAAGGAACATGGAATCGAGGCAACATAATTCCAAAATGCGGAATGCCAAACGTCGTAAATAAAACTAGAATCATGAAATCGAGGCAATATCAATGCACCATAACTCTAGTAAATACGCTAATACCATAAATAAAAAACAAATGGCATAAAAGATCAGTGTACCACATGGCCACTGTAAATTTTGATGCTATCATTCCAAAATTTTGTTCTGAATTTCCAAATCCCATTTGCAATTTTAGCTTTTATTTCGTTTTTTAACAGTTTTTAATCTGTTTTTCATTAATATTTTCTGGTCTTAAATTCTGCAATTAGGTTTTTTTAACTTCGTGATCGACCTTCCGTGTGTTGCCTCAACGATCGGTCTTTTCCTGCATTTCTGTTGATATGTTGTTAGCTTCCTGTATTTAGTCTTTTTCATTCCGTAAATATCTTACCTCGTTTGAATTTTCGCATTTTGCATTCTGTAATTTTGTTGCCTCGATTTCATGTTCCTTGTTTTTTATATATTCCGTCTTTTGCTTTTGCCCCTTGGGGTAAGAATTTTTGGTACAAACCTACATCGATGCGAGAAATTTGGTTTGTGACGTCAGCGCCATCGTCAGCATATGCTCTGGAAGAAAGGGACATACCAAAAATCTTTCCTTGGAGGGAAATTGCGCGCTTTTTGTGGGCTGCATCTTATCGCTAAATGAAGTTGCTTTATCTATGTTATCTCGGATTTGTTCTGTCGAATGTCCTTACTCTATTTCTGTATTTTTTTTAAAAAAAAAAAAGGTGCCTCGATTTAAAGTCTGGTGCAGTCATGGCTCAATGGCGGGAAAAGGTCACATGACCTAAAAGGCGGGAAAATTGGGAGTTTCACTCCGAATCATTTGGCATTATGGCGGATCTGGTTCAATTGGATTATGAAGGCAAAAGTGTGGGATTGACACCAATGAATCTTAGCAAAACAACAATTGCTCGATTTTTTAGGGTGCATGAAGACGGTTTGCACCTTAAAATCGTGAAAAACGGCAAGTGCGAAAATGTATGGCCGCTATCGAACGGCAAGTTTTTATTGCCAACGGGAACAAAAAGTGCACATGTGGTTGCCTTTCCTGCTGAAGATCAAGATTTACAAGAGGAGGAGGATGATGATTTTCAGGGAACATTTGGTGCCCGGTACGTATGCACGTTCTTTTGTGTTTGCGATTTATTTTTTTCTTCAATGTTTTATTTCGGTACTTTATAAAGAACGAAATATTTTAAAAGCGCGATTTACATTTCACTTTCTTATTTTTACAATCATAAGAGCAACTTCGCATCCAATTCCTCGCCCATCAATTAGTGGCCGCAGCCGAGTTCTTAGCCCACCAGTAACTAGTGCTGGGTTTGGGAAACGACCAGCCCCTGGTTTCTCGTTTATCAAGTCTAAGAAGAAGAAGCAGATGAACTTGGTGAAGGACTTCACGTTTTCTTCTCTGGACGAAGAAGGACAAATGGTCATGCTATTTCCAATCTCGATCAACCTAACTGAACTCCTCGAAAGGTTCGGGCAACTGTCGGTCTCTATTGTCTGCAGTGCTATTGAGCAGGAACTTCGAGACCAAGGAGAAGTCGTGAGACTTGTAGTTCTTGACGCTCGGGGGCAGCCGATTATGGATTCCTCCCATACAAGAAGTAAGCTGTTATATTCTGTTTATTCATTCTTCGTTCTGCGATCCTATCAAGTTTTTGTTTTTCGGAAAAAGAAACCGTAGGCATTTTCGTACTACTTGCCTGCAATGAATCAGTCAGTTCCAAGCACCGTTACCCCCAAAATTTTTCAAGCACTCGTCAGCAGGATATGTGAGTTCACAGAGTGGGATGTGTACCCAGGAGAGGGTATTCGTGTTGTTAAATTTCATATTTTGCATTTCCTTTGAAAAGAGAAATATATATGGTATAGTAGAGAAGTACATGTAGAGATGCTTAGTTCTAAACTTCTGGTTTTATTATATTTTTTTCACCTTTATGGCTTCATTCATTTATGACACAGGTTTGCCATGGAGCTTCTTCCTAGAAAACATTGTTTTCTAGAAGAATCAAACGAAGAATCAAACCTTTCACAGAAAACATTTTGTTTCATTGTTGCCAGGGTGGGGCAATAAGACATACTGGTATGCCCATATATATATATATATTTTTTGTATGAACCTGCTTGCTCCCCACCCCATGTTTACAGCTTCCTTTAGAAAAAAAGGACAAATACCTGATTTAAAAGTAATACTTCACCATATTTTACTTCGTAGAAGAGGAATTTTGGGCATCACAACGAACATTTAGAGCCATGTCCCAACAAACTTTTCGAAAATGGAAGCCAGGGGTGTGGGCTGCATTGAGTACAGGACTCTACACTCTGGAGGATGAGGAGGTGCCAGAGGAGACATTGGTGGACCACCAACATTTTTCCTTGGAACCCACTGTAAGTTTCTTTTAAAGATGTCTAGTCACAGAAACCTCGAGTTTTTCATTATGTAGTTCATTACAGCAATTTTTCCAAGTCAAGAGCTTTATGTTAATTGGTCTTGGTTATCAGGTTTACAAACACTAGATGCTGCTGGGAAAATTATAAAATTAAATGAGACTTACCTGCAAGGTGAAGTTTAATTTAGGTTCTACCTTGTCACCATGGCACTGAGACAAGGTAGAATCTGCTTGCTAGTGATAAGGTAAGCCTTGCTATTCAAGACCAAAACTGAGGCCTGCATGGGCAAGGCACTGCACCAAGATACCTTGCAACTCCTTGAAAAAGATATTAGACCTGACATAACTCCACCCATAATGATTACCGTAAAAAGGAAACAGTTCAGTCAAGTACTGCTGGGTTGGATGAAAACTAATTTTATTTGTTACTCATTGACTTTTTGAAACAAAAACTGATTTCACAAAGTAAGTTGAAGCTTATTTCAATGCTGAATTTCAACCTGTGACTTTATAATCCTTAGGCTCTTTCATGGGTTTAGATGCATTTACTAACATTCTGTTAAGTTTACGCTAAAATGAAAATCTCAATAAACCATGCCTACCACTCAGTGTGACTCACCCTCTTACACACCCAGGGTTCAAAACCATAAATAACAAAGTAACTACATATATATATATATATATACATACATACATACAGCCACTACAATAGCTTTAAAGTGGTTAAAATGAGAAATACACTGAAATTTAAAAGGAAAAAATACAACATTCTCTTTATGATCACCACTTTTTAAAGATACACCACTAATAACTCATTCTTTTTGTTCACAGGCTGGAAAAAAGGACACATTTGCAGAAATTAAAGAAATGTTTAAAGAAATAAAAGATGCCCTTGAAGTAAATAAGGAGAAGAAAAGGGTGAAAGAGATTATTAAGTGTGTTATCTGCCAGTCCACTTGTACCTCATCATTGTTTTTTTGTGTAGCTGGGTGTGGCCAACTAATTGGTTGCTTTTACTGTGCCTCCCGTTTACAAGATTGCCCCCTATGTAGGGTTAGTCTCCCAGATACTGAAATTCGTAAGCCACTTAAAGTAAGTGGCCTAGCAGATTATTTGGGTATTCCAGAGGATTCCATGGCATCAGCAATCAGGGAAGCAAGAGTTAATGCAAACAATGTTGAAGATGGTGATGATGAAATCCTCTAAGGCAACCAAAGAATAACATGCACCTGCTCATTTTGTCTTTTTTCTACTCTCTAGTAATGATGAAAATTGATTTTGTTGAACAGAATGAACAGAAGGGTCTTTCACAGTAAAAGAAAAAAAGCTAGCTTTTTCTACTGTATGTAGAATTTTACAGCCAGAAAAATAAAACGAAACAAGTCCCCATTAATATTACAATGGAAATGCATATTTCCATTCTTAGTAAATACATGTTACCTATGCACCTAGTTACGTTTGAGTTTCCCAGGGAAGGTGATTATTAATGGAAAGATTACATAAGTTTATCTGGTGTTGATGACCACTGAGTCTTTAATTTGAACAAAAAAAAAAACAAAACAAAAAACTGTTGAAGTTCTGTTATGGAAAATAGATTAAGTCTAAATCTGTAGTCATGGAATTGCTTGATTGGCAAGTGAATTTGTTATGTCAATAAAGCTTTTGATGGCATTGACTAATGCTTCATTCTTATTATGGACAACATCTGAAAACATGCTTTCAAATGATGGGTTTTGAGACATAAACAAATACTCTCTTGATGCCATTAAATGATCATAACATGCAATTGGATCACAACCAATGCTTGGATCCCTATTGAGACTTCCACCTCGTTCTTCATACATTTGTACAACCTCTGCAGTTGTTGGAATTTCATGTGGTTCAAGCTGAACAGCCATGTTTGTTTCTGTCATCTTTTCAATGGGTATACACCCCTTGGGCCCTGTAAGTGAAAATTGAAATAGATATTGCAAGGTATCATGAGGACCTCTAATAATCTAGTTTTCAATTTAATTACTAGGCTTTTGACTATATTTCTCCCAGCTACTTGGGCTAGAGTTAATATTCCTTACAGAACAACATCACAAAACCATTACTAAATGGGAAATATCACATAAAAAACAGATATGTTACAATAAACACATAATCATGGTTAATAAAATTGAGGGAAAAAATGACACCAACATAAAAGTTCAGTGGCCTTCGTCTAAAGCACCAAAACTCACCTGGAATTCGGTGATAGTTCCAAGAGTTGACAAAGTTCTCTGAACCCACTTTACTGACATGTAGAGTTACCCAAGAAACTGCAAAACTAACAAGGGGGTCTTCCATATTGAATATCTCCTGCTCTTTAATGAAGTTAAGTGCCCTTTTAAGAGGATAGTTAACTCGAGCATTTTCCTCTGGCCATAGCCTCTCTGCCCTGTAATTCTTAGTAGATGTGGTTTGTCTCCAAGGGGCTCTGCTGGTATTACCACGTCTATTTTTAAGTAACTCCTGTACAAAGATGCAAAGGCAAAATTCTGTTCCATGATCAACACGTAACTGATCAAATAACCCATATTGAAGTAGTAAGGGCCTGTGTAAACAGAAAAAAAATAGAACAATGTGGAATAATGAAAGAGGACTTTATAAAAAGCAAAAATGTTCATATTAATTTTGAAATACTTACTATTATAGGACTCGGAAGATAGACTGCACCTTTAATAATTTTTGCTTGCCCTGGCTAGTTGCATACTTTTACTTTTTGTCATTAAGTTACAAGAGGACTTGCCTATTGGTTAAGTAAGAATGAAAAGTAACTTGCCCAGCAAGAAAATCTACTTAATGCTTTGGGGGATTTTTTGGAGATCTCACAAAAGAGAGTTTGGTTATCTCTTTTTTAAAAAACAGCAAGCACACAATAATGCAAATGAGAAATTGTCATTTTATTATAGTCTCAGTGAGTGTCAAACTTAGAAAATTGTGAATACCAGAAATATTTCAGAGATATTGACTGTCTAGAGACCAATCACCTTGGAGACCAGGACCCTCGGGTAGTCCTCAAAACGTAAAACTACCTAACATTGCTGTTTGTGTTTAAATTGGTTCACCTTTCTCAGACCTGATTGGCTTTCTCCTTGCAACACATTAACAGATTGCATAATGTGACTGTATATAATACTTTTCTGGGTTTCTGAATTTCACAGTATGCTTTCTTAAGTGTTCTAGAAACCAGCATATGAGGCATAAAATTAATTGGGTCCTTACCTAAATAGATATTGGTATATGAGCACCGGGTTCTTTTTTGGTATTGTAATGAAACCAAGAACCATCCTGCTACAGCCATCCAGAGCATGGACATGGGTGACTCCATACTCCTGCGCTATCTTTTCATTTTGGTCCATATGCAACTTATATCCAAAATAGGGTGCATGGTAGGGAACTGGATTTGTTCTGTCAAGTAAGTCATGTGCCCTTTCCCTGTGAGCACGAGGGGCAACCTTCTTCAGCATCTTTGAAATTCTTCTTTGACTGATTTCACGGCAATGCAAATTTTCTTGCATTTGATATCGTAGGGTACCCTGCATCATACGCCTTCCATACGTATGTCCATACTGGAAAGAAAAACAAATTGTGGCATTTACTGATTTATATCATATTCAGTTATCCCTAATGATCATTATATATCAAAATATTTAAATTGCAAAAGTTTTGTTGCAACACATGCTTTATATGTGAAACATAACCATATATAGCGAGATCAAGAAAAATCGACATGAATCATTGTATTTCTCATTCAAAATGTACGCTTCATTGAGATGTTTTATAGGTTTGTATATTTGCACTCTTCCTTCATCCCCATCACAGGGTATTTCGCTGGTTAAGTGTCCCTAACCCCGGAAATTACCATTCAAGAAAGATGCTAAAGCCCAGGGGATAGCCCGGGAAGGGGGTGGACACATTACAGCCTCTTTTTGCAGGGTAATAGACATGTGATTTCCTACCCCTAAAAAGCGCTGGTTACGATACGAGTGTGATTAACTATTTCCCGCCAAAAACCAGGCATGCAATTGAAATTACACCGGCTTACATGGATGGGATTAACAGTTGGTGATCACTTTAATTTTTACATTACTGGTTTACTGATACAATTCACAAAATTCAACTTCACCTGCAAGATGTTCGTCGAAACCATTTCTTCTAGGTGTTCGTCTGATATCCATCGCAATGACGTTACATTTATATTTCTGTCTTTACAAAATCGTCTTACGCTTCGCGCGCTAAGCCCGCGTGACTCTGTCGGAGAAAACATCAACATTACAAGCCAGATATTTAGATAGAAAGGTAATGCAAAGAGATATAACTCTTACCAGGAAAGAGAACTCGGAGTCTTTCACTAATGGATTTGTAGGAAAACCCTCGTTCAACAAGCTCTCGTATAAACGCCTCGTCCACTAAGTCCGCTAAACTCATTTCGAAGGTGACTTTTTTCAAATAATTCTGCTTATCGGTTCCAGTTTCTCACGCTTTAGCCTCGCTTACAAGTTATTTCCAGGCCGGCTCGTTCTAACTCTATGGAATCGAGGCAACATAATTACTGTATAGTAAATACGTTGAATTCCACATACGGTGTGTGAATAATCAATAATCATAGAATCGAGGCAACATAATTCCAAAATGCAGAATGCAAATGTCGTAAATAAAACTTAGAATCATGAAATCAAGGCAGCATCATTCCATAATTCAGAATGCACATACCGTAAAAAGAAAAAGGAACATAGAATCGAGGCAACATAATTCCAGAATAGGGGATGCAGAATTCAAATACCGTAAATGAAAGAAGGAAGATAAAATCGAGGCAACATAATTCCAAAATGCAGAATGCAAATGTCGTAAATAAAACTTAGAATCATGAAATCAAGGCAGCATAATTCCATAATTCAGAATGCACATACCGTAAAAAGAAAAAGGAACATAGAATCGAGGCAACATAATTCCAGAATACGGGATGCAGAATTCAAATACCGTAAATGAAACAAGGAACATGTAATCGAGGCAACATAATTCCCAAATGCGGAATGCCAAATGTTGTAAATAAAACTAGAATCATGAAATCGAGGCAACATAATTCCTGAATGCAGAATGCAAAGACGGTAAATGAACAACCAGCATAGAATCAAGGCACCATAACTCTAGAATGCTAAATACCATAAACAAAAAAACAAATGGAATAAAAGCATACAAGGAATGGCCATGTGTGACACTTATTATAAAAGCATACAAGGAATGGCCATGTGTGACACCTATTCAGAGGTTTAATGGAAGGCTCCTAAAGATATAAAGTAGAGATTTAAGGATTTCTTTGTTTCAGTTAGTTGAAAAGTTTGTTGCTTTAGCCTTGTATTTGTAGCTTTGGTTACTAACGTCGTGGTCGATTCTGATTCGATTTGTGAGTAAGAAAAAAAACGAACTTGTTTACCTCATAAAAAGATGAAGTTTCTACCTGAAGAGTGTGACCAGCTTGCATTAAACGAGGTGGGTATCATAAATCACCTTGACCAATTAATAATAATAAATACAGCGCGAGATATTCTCTTCACGCTGCCGTATACTAGTGTTTCTAGGATCATACAGCAAACGAAAAAGCAAAATTTTACTAATTCATTAGAATAATGATTATATATTATCTAATTTTACGGTGACTTTTTCTAGTTTCTATTGTAAGTTAGTATTTTATTTCTTTCTTGTTTCAGTCTCATTTGGCAAGGGAAAAAAATATTAGTGAGAAACTGAATAGCAAAAATTAAAAAATTAATTAATTAAAGAACCTGTACATTTGTATTTGTTCGAGTGACTCAACATTTTAGATTTGTGTTGCCTGTTCTTCATAATTAGCCAAAAAGCTTCTTACTACACCCAACAGTCAATCGGCTTGTTCAGGGAGAAGCTCGTTTTACTTAAATTAAGCGACTATTTGGGAAAGACCGAGTACGTATATTAGTCGCGCGAGTAGAAATCGACACAGGCATGTTTATCGTATCAACTGCTATTTGTTTTGAGGTACTTGAGAAGTTACATTTGACTCAAAACCTGTTCAGTTTTCCCGCCTCTTCATCAGCATGTTCTGTAAAGATTAATCGGAATAAATAGAACTTGTGCTGAGCGCTGAATCATTAGAGTCCAATTGGTCAGTGCTTGCTCTTCTTTCAAGCTGAAACTGATCTAGTAGCCATTCAAGCCGGAGTTTATCCGCACTCAGCTTTCTCTCGTATTCCCCTTTCAAAACCCTCTTAAGGTCCTTCTTCTCGTTTTTAAACCCGTTCTCAATTTCGAGGTTCTCGTGGTCGAATTTTAATTTCAATGTTTGCATTTCTAAGGAAAAGCATTTTTCCAGCTGTTCCTTTTGATATTTCAAAACAGAGATGTCGTGCTCGTAACCTTGTATTTCCGACTCGAATTTCAACCTCTGTTGCTGAAGTTTTCTGCGAAATTCCACTTCGAATTTACGTCCGATGTCTTCCTTTTCTTTAATAAATCCCTCTTCCATGTCTGACTTTTCCCTTCTAAAAATGTTCATCAAATCGTTCTTTTGCTGTTTGAACCTCTGTTCCATGTTTACGATTTCCAACGCGAACTGGTGCTCTACTGACTTGTGCTTATTGGCGTAGTGAGAATGCATTTTGGTCTTCTCTTGTTTGAGCGATTTCAACAGCTCCTCTTTATCCAGGCTCGTTTCGGCATCTAAAGTACTTTTAAAGTGCATATGAACCTCTGGTTGCTCGTGATTATAGAGGGTCTCGAGGTAAGCGTTCTCCTCGAAGTAAACATTCTCCAGACCGCCCAAGCCCTGCGACAATGTCCGCCTCAGCTCATTTTTTACTTCCTCGATTCCCTCAAGCTCTTCGCGAATCTTCGCTTCCATTTCAGCCTTTTCGGCTTTAAATCCTTCCTCTTTCTCTCTTAAAAGTCGCTTTAATTGCGCTCTTAATTCCTTCTTCTCTTTGATGTAATTGTCAAGGACAGTCTGTTTTTCACGATCCCGTGATTTTATCAACGCAGATTTCTCGTCTTCGAAAGACAGCTTGAAAACATGTCTCGATTCCTGAAATTCCAAGCGGATGTTGTCTTTCTCTTTTAGGAAATTCTGTCGCATTTCTTCTTTCTCGCATTCAAAGGCTTTTCTCATGTTTTCCTTCTCCACTTCAAAAGCTAAACGCATATCATTTTTCTCGTCTTCGTGGGCGCGATCAACAGTCTCTCTCTCCTGCAGAAATCCTCGAACAATTTCCGCCTTCTCCTCAAGGAACCTTCTTTCTATGTGAGATCCATCGATCATATAGCTACATTTTCCTCCGAATTTCGTGAACAGTCGCTTTCCATGGTTTTGATTTTATTAACCCAAGAGCGCGTTGTTGGCGAGATCAAAGCACATCACAGCATACAATTTCCTGCCGAGCGATGACGGCCATTGGTCGAGTCAGTTTATTTGGCGTGATGATAACCCAAGACCAATGCGTGCGCAGTTTGCTGACCGCGTTTTCAGTTAATGGGTGGGCACGTCAAGAGATTTTTTGGCTGAAATTAATGATCAAGTCTTGGAAAATTAACATTTCATTTCATGCTTCACGGGAAGCTGAGTTCAAGGAATTAATGGAGTTTACTCAGCGATGAAAATACACTATAGCTTCACCAGGTTTTGGACTAAAACAAGATCTTGTAAACCGAATATCATGGAATATGCATATGCATGTAGATTAACAGCCTTGACGCTATCTAGAAAATCTCATTGGGTTTGTCCCAAAGAAGTCCTTGCTTCTTAAACAGCTGGCGATCAGAACCGAAACTAATCGATAATTTGCCCGAACGAAAAAGCTTTTTTAGGCTAATTTGAAAAGCGCCGTTGGTACGCGATGAGCCTACCGTCCTTGAAGAATCGCGCAATAACAAACACCTTTGTTTTGAGAATGTTTACAACCTACGGTGACATCGAATCAGAAGGCGATAACCTTTTCTTAATCTGTAATCCGGTGTAATCGAGTCAGTCGAGTAGGCTGAGACGTTATTAAAGACAGATTTCGTTGTCTTTTCATAAGCCCGAATCTCCACTTTTTTTAAAGGACGGATATATTTCTTTGTTTTCAGTGTGTTTTCCGTCGCCTATCGAATACTTTTGACTGATAGAACTGGTGCAATCTGTTTTTTCCTTGCAACACAGGTACCTGACAAAATTAAAAGATATTTCGCGCGTGCCATGTCAGAGTCAAAATCAATGTTTTGAAAGCAGAGAACGCCATCCTCTTTTATCAAGTGTGTAACGTCTGACTCAGTTTTTGCTTTGACGTCATGACATCTGTTCCCTCAAAGGGCTTTTTAAAAATTCTCGAAAAAATAGAAATTTATTTAGGGTCAAAAATGACTTCAAATAAATTATTTGTAACTTATGAGAGGTCGACTTGTAGCAAGTCAAACCCGCTCGCTGATACATGCTTTTGAGTTCCGATGGTTTCATCTCGCAAGTGCGTATAAGTGACTAGAGGTCATTTTGAGAGTGTACAGGTTCACTTAAAATTTTTTTCCCTTTGAAAATATCACGAAAGTGATGAAATTCTTGAATTTGGCATTATTTTGGTAGTAAAACACGTCTTAATTTTCTGGCTCTAGAATATATTATTGTAATTGGTTCCTGCTGTTTTAAAACTTGTTTTAATAGCCTAACAGTTTTTCAAGTTCCGATTATTCTTTTTGTCTCTAACTTTTGACATGAAGCAGGGATTTAGTCATTTGCAAAAAAGCTAAGTAATTTCTTTGCTAAGGATAAGTTCCTTTGTAGAAAAGACCTTGTAATTAGCAAATATCAGGGTCGTAATAAGGTATATTTTTTTGCCCAATGATCCCACATTTAGGCCGTAAATTTTGATCCCTGATCCCAAAATTGTTGCAAAACTTGATTCCTGATTCCATGAATTTGTTTCATCCCTGGATTCAATCCGGGTTGGATTAGCTGCGTATACTTTATTGAAACTGCAAAAAAAAAATTTCTCTTTTTGATTTCTTTTACAATTAGTCACATCATTTACTGACTGGAGAATTAAGGTTGGTTCCAGTTTGTTCTTTAGAGTAATCATTGTTTCTATCATAACACGTTCCACTTAAAAGCTCTCATTACAATATATCTGATCTTGTAATGAACTTTTCGTTTAGTGCTCTGTTGAAGTGTTCGTGACGTTTACACCTTTCCTTTAAAATGTGATCAATTCCTCAATTTGCCACCAACACAAGCAAAAGAAAACATCAAGTTAGTCTAAGGTAAAAGGCGTTTGTCCTAATTGTACACGTAGTTTGTATCAGTCGTCGCCTTGGTGGCACCGGTTGACCAACTAAGGTGAGGTGTGCCACAAGTCATACATCACCATCTGACTATCCTTATACACGTTTCACATTGGTGTAGGTAGCCTGAAGGTGCACGCACGCGGGAGAAACGTTGTAGCGATGAAGGCGGCCCAACCTAGGGGGTTCTGGGAGCATACTCCCCTAGAAAAGTTTTAAATTTAGGGTCTCAGCAGGGCCATTTCCAGCGTTTTTTT